ATCAAGGTATAGGAATACAGGTAAGTGACAATACAGTGATTCTCACAACAAGGTATAGGATTACAGATAAGTGACAATACAGTGAATCTCACATCAAGGTATATGAATACAGGTATGTGACAATACAGTGATTCTCACAACAAGGTATTGGAATACAGGTAAGTGGCAATACAGTGAATCTCATACCAAGATATAGGAGTACAAGTAAGTTACAATAAAGTGAATATCATAATTGAAGATATGACATACCACATTACTTGCATGATGATACCGTAAAAACCTATTTTATTTCCTGGGATGAATTATTGTTTGTATCCTATTAATTCGCGGTGTTCCAAAACAAATAATAATTGGATCCTATTAATTCGCCATTAATATCGCCATATAACTTGTTATATTTAGTATGCGTTTATTGTGTTCGTGTTACCGATTACCTCAAGTAGCTGTGATCACCAGCGATCATGGCAGCCGGAAAAAATCTTTCATTCACTCACAACAATAAAGTTGTTTTACTGGATAATTATATAGTCAATTAATATGATCGAGCAGTAAATCTATATTGTGAATTTCTATGATAAGCAATACTATTGAAAGAGTTCGACAGCCAGAGTTGTATCGACATGCGTTCGCTATGTTGGAAAGTAAATTCCATAGAACTTTGAACGTCTACTTTGTGCACCGCCAGGGTGCGTGAATTAACGATTTTGATTGGCCAAGCGCTTGTCATAATTTTGCGATTAATGATGAGTGGATCATTCTGATTGCAACGCGTTTGAAAAACAAAACGAAAAAATAGCCCAAGTCTGTACTGCTATGGCGCCGTCGCTGAACACTGAACGGTGTATTATGCATTTCAATGAAAGGGCACATGTTTTGCAAGCAACACGTGGCCACGTAAATAGATGACAGATTCTGATCGCGTGGCTCTCTTTTATTATTACTAGCCAGTAACGTCAGAGGCAAAAAAAAGTCACCAGCAGGCGAATCATTTGGTTCGGTATATCTTTTTTGCAGAGGATTTTTGGAGACATTTGTGTTTGGTTGCTCCGGGATTTTAGTGCTGCAAGGAATATTGAAACCCAGAGCTAACGTGAATTCTTCGTAATGTTTTTGTGACACTGACACAGGCAAACAATGTGGCAGTGCCGACACAACCAATGCAAAAATACTGACTACTTCTTTCCTGTTATTGTAGATATTATGAACTCATTTGCAAATACAATGTTGTAAATAGATGGGCATGTTCCAGCTTTGTTTTTAAATGGGATGTGTCACGCAATAGTGACAATTTCCTGTCCCCTTCCAGTCAGTGTGTGTCGTCTTTGTGGTGGACGGACGGATGTTTCGGCCAAGAGTTTCGGACAGGGTGGACGTTTACATAAATATTTAAGACATAGTCTATTATGTGATGTCGGCATATATTTGTTTACAGAAATATTTAATACATACTCTATGATGTCCGCATAGAGTTGTTTAAAGAAATATTTAATACATAGTCTATGATGTCGGCATAGAGTTGTTTACAGAAATATTTAATACATACTCTATGATGTCCGCATAGAGTTGTTTACAGAAATATTTAATACATAGTTGCTTAAGCATATAGTTTTAACTGCTTAAGCTATTCTACAAACGAGAAATGCAGATCTACTGCACAGCTAATATTAAAAGTGCCAGGTGACGAGTGAGTAAAGGAACACACATTCGCAGCAAGACAAGAATGCTATTACATGCAACTACAGTAGAAGCAAACGTAAAGAAATCATTGATTGTAAGACATATCTCATACTTTCATTTAGAATATTTTCACTCCGTGGCTAAGATCATCTTACCATTGAACTCTACTTAGGCCGAAATGTCCGGAGCCGAAACGTCCAGACCCGAAACGTCCGGGGTCGTAACATCCCGCATTCGTCTTTGTACACGATATGAGCTCATTTACAAATTCATTGTTTTTTTTTAAACAGGATGAGTTGCACGAAGTTTATCACTAGTATGTGTCTGAAAATGTATGAAAAATTCAGGCTGCGAGATGGCATAAATAAGACATACATGTATACCGTACCAAAATATGTGTGTGTGTGTGTGTGAAAAGTTTCGTTTTGTGTCTGACGTACATGACTAGAAAACTAAAAGAAAGCGATACGACCGGACGGTTACTTTGTAGCCACACATTGATTGTTTGTTTCCCTAATCATCATATAACAGAGCACCTTAGTCCTTAACTCGAGCTCAAAATACAGCACGTCTCAGATTGGCATCTTGTGTTCCTCACGACCAATTGAATGGCTAGAAAATAACATTTTGAGCATGGCTTGGTGTGTGACTTTTAATTGAATTGTCTGCTGTCCACTCAGCTTCGCTGTAATGTTTCTTGTTGGCCACAGCCCTTAAACCACCCAAAGACACGAATGAACATCTTGATCACTATCAAATTGGCGAAAACAATTTCAAATTGAACCAAACTGTATTCTATTAATTCGCTCACCTGATAAAAATAATTTCAATTTGTATCCTCTCACTTACCAGTCTACAGGATTACTGGCATGCTGCAATAAGTATGGAGATTTCTCCTTTGCTAGTCTGTTCCTCTGGGGTAGCTCAGGACCTCCTGTTGCCATAGAACTTAAACTAAAAAATATTTAGATAATTTGCATTTTCTGTAAATGACACATAATTAACAACTCATGAAATATACACTATCACCAATATTCTACACAGAACAATTCTCACATAATTATACATGTAACTATAATCTGTCTGATTTTGAGCCAGGTTATACACA